GCTTCTCACGGGCATCCGCTCCTATCCACGGCCCACCTAACCACACCACATCATCCTCTCCATCCGAGCCCCTTACACGCCAGCGTGGCAGGCCTCGCCGACCCCCTGCTGAAGAGTGGACACTTGCAGGCAGCCCTCCCGCCCGCACACCTCGTGGCAGACGCCGTAAGTCTTTTGTTTTTCGTGATCCACCCCTCGTCCCGTACCAAACCTCTGAGATACAAGTCACCGGAACCTACAACCACACCCCACGAACCCCCGGTACACACGTTTGAACAACGCGACGACGAGTTTTCGAAAACCGCCCCCGATACCCTACCCGATTCTGGATACACGCGATTTCACCTGCAGAACGTACACGATTGCGGTAATTGGTGGAAATTTGGGTCGTTTGGAGGGGGTTAGATTAGGTAGGTTTCAAGGGGTCGGGTAAAATCTGGGGAAGATGGGGTGGGATGGTTGAGATATAAGCTTTGAGGGAGCTTTGTAGTATTTAATCTCTTCGCTCTTGAAGGTGGGAGTAACTTGGTATTTAAGAACGAGAGTAATTTCTAAACATTTTTTAATCAGGGGTTTTTCCTTTTAATTTACGTTCTTCGAAATTTTTTTTTTAGTTTCTTTTTTTTAACGAGAGATGGTTAATTCCTTTAAAATAAGGTTTTTTGACATGTTAGGTGATTGATGTGCTTGATTTTCATGACAAAAATCAAGGTTCATCAAGAGTAATCAAATCCAATTTTAATTTAATTTGATACAATTTTAATTTGACTTAATGCTATTTTAACTTGACGTAATACACTTTTTATTGGATCTTATACAACTTTAATTTGGTTTGATACAATTTTAACTTGACATCATACAGTTTTAACTATCTTTGATGCAATTCTAATTTGACTTGATTTGATTTTAATGAATTCAATAAAATTTTAATAAGTCTGACTTTTAACATTTAACAAAACCCTCAATTCGAACTTTCAGTACAATTTTACCGAAACTAATTTATTTTCTTTAAATGTTAAAATCTGTCTTCGTGAATTTTTAACAAAGTCCATTTTAATTTTATTTAATTTTTGCTGGAGTATTCCCTTCAGAACAAAATTCTCCATAAATTCATGACCTCGTTAAAAAAATAAAGATCGAAGTCTTAAATCATTGGCATCGTCGCGAAATATCTAAAGCAGAAGCCGAAAGTTAATCTTGGAAAGAGATTTTTCTTTCAAGAACACGGGTCTAGGATTAATGGGCTTCGCAATACTTGGCAACTATCGAACGATTCGAGCAGTTCGATATCGCGGTTCGCTAGTTCGAAGCATCCTGAAGTCCGATATCCAATTTTCACCAAATACCGTAGCGTCGCCATAGAATGTTTGCCCGCGTGTACCGGAATGTCTCCAACGTTATATAGGCCACCTGGTCCCTTTCCTACGAAACCCTGTTACTTAACCCCCCTTTTACACGACCCTGGTCCACGTACATGCATCGGCACCCCTTCAACACACCTTGGCTTTCTGCTCGACGTCCTTGTGCAACTTCGAATCAATCGTCCAGGGAAAAGAAACGTTTTCCGAACAAAATGGTGGTCGAAGGACTTTATTTTGAAATACAAGGAAGCGAAATAAGTGATGTTTGTGAAGACGATGTTTGTAGAGATTACTGTCTCTTAGAGTATAGTCTAAGGTTATAAGATTATACTAATACAGTATAATACTCTATAAGATTATTACTATACTACAATCTAACAGTATCCATAGGAGATTTTGTGGGGAAGAATATAAGGGAGATTTCGAGATTATTTATATGGGAGATTTCAAGATTATTTTGAAGATGTTGTATGAGATTTTATGGTATACGTTCTTTAAGTGGAATTAGTGATTTATTGTAGGGGTGATTTTTTTTAATGTTCTGTATATAAAAGTTGCAAATTTAAAAAGTTTGCAGTTGTGAAAAAATTAGCGTCCTTTACAATAATTAATCTGAAGGTTCTTCACAAATATCTCAAATCCACAAAAATGAGTTTCAACCTCCATTTTCCCTGGAAGAATTCGAGGTTGCACATCAGCCATTATTTCTCCTAAAAACGCGACTTCAATATTTCTCAAAAATTCACACTCAAAGAAGCAAGATGAATTTATTACAAAAGTGAATTTTTGTTAATTTTATCGGTTGAAGTTGCGTGTTGGTATGTGCTTTGCTTTCTATGTGATCCGCACGTGTCTGTTACGTGTATCAGCCGTCTACGAATTTGTTCATTCTGTTTTCTTTATTTTACTTTTTCGTTCACGTTTCTCTTAAATGTACACCAAACGCTTCTGATGTACTCTCCCAGCCGTGGTCTCGGTGTGTGTCTCTCCCTTTCTTGTGCTTGCGATTGGTAGTGGGTTGATGCCTTTAAAAAATGAAAATTGAACAAAATAAAACGCTTGCCGTCCTTCACGGTGCACAGAGATGATTAATTCGTTGCATGCGACATGCGATTATACACGCTCGTACGGGATCCGTGATAAGCGGCTGATAAACGCGAATGAACACCGGTGATTAACACTCGTATGAGTGTTTTAAATCCGCTAAAAAATTATTATATCTCACTTCTGAGATAACGGAATTTTTTAAAGAGCGGCAGTTAATTTATATTCTTTCATCATTTTAATGAAATTTTATGTACTTTGTTTAATTTTGAAATATGGAGGATTTTTTATTTTTAATGTAAGTGGTTGTTTGTTGTGGAATAATGTTAATTAAATTATTTGTTAAAATTGTTAAATTTTAATTTTTAATTGGGAGTATTGTAAATGATTTGACTGGAATTTTTTAGCTTTTATTAATTAAAAGTAAGTTAAAATTACAGTAATTTTGAACTGCAGAGAATTGATATTGAATTTTATTCGAACCATTGAACATTCAGTGTTTTTTATTGGAAATTTTAATTAACTACTGAAACTCGATCATCAGTTTCATTAATTAGAAAGGATATTAATATTGTTGATTTTTGAAAAAAATAAGGTACATCAGATTCCACAAAAAAATTATACGAGTAATTTCGAACGTTGTCTTTAAAATTGTCTTCATAAACAAATTCTTTTTATCTTAAAAAAATTGTTTCAATGAAACGATCTGAAATTTCTGAAATTACACAAAATCAAATGAAATCACACCACAATAAATTTCAAAAACTACTGCTCTTTTATCATTAAACCTTTGAGAAATTACGATATTAAAAAATTTACAAAATGCCCAGTGTTCATCTCGGGTCCCATCGACTCGTGATCGTGAAACTCTTCACGAGAATCGTATTCGACGACCAAAGAATGAAAACTCGATTGGAAAACGATGACCTTGCGGGTTCGAAGTCATTACGATGATCGTGGGGATCTGTCGCCATTTCGGCACAGAATCTCGACGAAACGCGTGGCCAGGTGAATTACACGTGGACCGTGGAGGTTTTTATTCTATGAAATCGAGCCTGCTTTAGCATGAACGCTTCACTCACGGCTCGCACGATGGATTCTTCGTGGTGGCTCGCCATTGGATCCGGTCAAACCGCGGAAACGTGTTCGCGAAACGACACCTTGAAAACACACACG